GGGTACTGTGCCTTTACTCAAAATAATCTTGATTTCAGCTTCTTAGAAGTATTTTACCATGGCTCAGGAAGTCCTTAAGCCATGGATTGATGGAGATTAAGAGAAAATACCAGGAAACTATGAGCATAGACTTGCTTTGATCTTGACATTTTTGCTAAATAGGGTATCTGAGCTGGTATGGCTCTTACATTTTCAAGCTAATGGCCAAATCCAAAAAGTTGCTTAAAGAAGGAACTAAAGCAGAATATAAATATCTAAATCCAGCATTGAAATCAAAAGGCTCTCTCAGCTCCAGTCCAATCCTAGAAGCACCTGACTCAGGAGGTACCTACCTTCAGTCTCTGAGAACTTCAAGTGTACAACAGTCACCTTGCACCTGTGCCTGGAACCTCCTCCTCCTCACTGGGTCTGAATCCTGCTGTATCCTGCCAGGGTTACAGATGGTTCAGCTCTGGTTGGACTTGGAACAAGCCACATGCCTGAGTTCATGAGCTCAGTTTGTGCTAAGGATGTGCAGCTGAGAAGGTGAAAAAAGAAAAGTAAACCTGAGAAAAAAGAGAGCAAGTGCAGAGGAGTCTTTAGTTCAGTAGTTGGGATTTGGTCTTTCAGGGACAGGAATTGTGTCCTCCTGGCTGGAATTCACAATCAGCTTCTGGGGGAAGACTGAAACTCCAGATCAGGTAGGTGCTCTCACCTCTAAACTAAAAATTATACTCACCTTTGATCTTCCTCTTATAGCCCAATGAATCTTTAATTCTTTTTATGCAAAGAAGATCAGGTTCAGTATAAGGGCACACAGTGCTCTCCCCTGCTCTCCCCATCTTCCCTGGGTATCTTTCACCCTGGAAGATCTCTGTAGCTCTCCAGGGAACACAGGTTGGTATTTCTCAGGCAGCAAATCAAGCTAAACCCAGATCTCCTCCTTGTCACCCTGCTGACAACCTCCCTGAGAAAGAAGATGGCCAGCTGGGGCTGCAGGAGTGTCCTGTGTTTGCCTCCAGATGGACAGACTGCCCATGTCCTGAAAGGTGGCTCAGCCCCAGCGACAGGCATGGTTTGAAAGCTCATCCCCGAGCTCCTTCAGTCATCAGATTGTTTTCTTTCTGTCTCTTGGGAGAGGACATTTTACAGCAGAATAGATCCTAGAGAACAGGCTGGAGAAAATCCAACTCACAACACCCAGCATCTGGAATTCTGAGACTACTCTCTTGGAAGATGGGAAAGAGTTTTAAAAACATGTTCCAAATCTGGTGAATGGGGAAACACTGGAAGAAACATCCGACCCCCCAGGCTGGTGTCCTCACCACTGCCTTGTATGGATGTAAGTGCATGCAAGAGTTGAGATGCCCAATCCAGCAGATAGTCTGGGATGACTGTGGAAAGTGGATCTGATGGAGCACAACATCTCTTGAAGGTTACTAGCAACCTGAGGTGGGTGGGTGATTGTCCCTTGAAGAAGAAGTTAAGGAATGGAAATTCTTGTGCTCCTGAAATTTTGGAGCTTCAATGCAAAGTGTCTGTGTTCTTTGCTTGTCCAAATTTGGGAACTGTGTCTGAACTGCCAAGTGCTTTCCTGATCAGTCAGGTTCCCATGTCCTTACACCACACCTGAAAAAGAAGTTTCAAGTTAGATCCACACAAGCGTTTACGGGCTTAAAAATTGCTTTGGCCAACAGCAGCAATCACCAAAGCTCCTGCTCAGCCAATGTCTAAAGCAGAGGTCTGACAGCCTTTGTGTTTCACCAGGGATGCCCTGTGGGTGCCTTGACCCTCTTTGGGCACACCCAGAGGCACCTGAGTCTTGCCAGCCCTGAGCAGCCAGCACTAGAGCACCAGCCTGACTCACTTTTTGGAAGAGGTGAAGTGCCTGACTCTAAGAGGGGCCTTGGTACCTGTCACCCCAATTGGAGACAGATACATCCCTGCAGGGCTGGCAGTACCTCAGACACTGCCTCATGAGCTGATTTGGTAATTGCCTGCTCCTTGTACTGCCGTGGTGCATCCCGTTGCACATGGAAAGCAGGCTCCCAGCAGTGTAGCAGCAGCCTGTACCAAAACTGTAACCTAAGAGTTCCCAGGTACATTTTTGTGCCTATATTCCAAATTACTAGTGTAGGTTCAGTAAATGGCACCAGCTGCCTCAAGGATCACAAGTGCTGCATCTTTGGGCACAAGATGCATTGCATCAGTCAGGCAATAACTCCAGGTCTCCAGGAATATAGATTCTACTGGAATTATACATTAAAGTCACACTGTGTTTACCTTAAAGCAATCTGACGAGGGATTAACTAGGTGATCAGTCCATCTCGCCACATCACAGAGGAGTAATTAAATTATTCCCAAACAAAATTGCTAGAATTTGACACCTAATCTAACTGCTGATATCTCTGTAATCTTTTCTTCTTACTTGTTCAAATGCTCAACCCTCCTTATTAAGATCAGTGCCGATTTTGTCCAGCAGAAAGTTGGAATATATTTCTTCTTCTTCATCTGTCCTTGTTGATCTATGGGAATAAAAGACCCCATCACATAAAATTATTCTGGCTTTGCAGAAGGGGCTGGTCAGCCTGTATTGGAATATAGTTCCCAGCACCGGTCAGCTCATTAGAGAAGTGAGTTGCTACAGACTGGGACGTTGCAACAGAGCCCAAACGATGCAAGAACTTAATTATTCAGAAAAGGTTTGGAAAAGCTACGGCGTGGCTTGCTGCCTTTGGAAAACAGGAGATTAAAAAGCCACTTTAGGGGGGTTTGCGGAGCTCCGGGGGAATAGCAAGGATTCACATACACGGGAAGAACAGAGCGAGTGACAAATACCAGAACAAAAGGGAAATTAACAGAAGCTTAAGTAGGGATGAGCAGCAAAGCAGTGTAATTTATTTGTGAATTTATTTGTATTTAGCACAGTTAATATATGGAAAATTATACTAAAGCTGGAACAGAAACAACTATTAGAAATCATTTTACAAGGCTTTAGACATGTGTGGGAGCTTAATATAACTCTGTGGGGTGCAACTCATAATTCAGAGAGGAAGAGGACTTACGTCTTCCTCACAATCTCTTAAAACATTTAGCTCCATTGTGATACGAAATAGACATAGTTACTTTAATCTGACTATCCATACAATTCTCAGGAAATGGTTTTCATTTACAAAATTAATTTTCCTTCCAGCTTCAAGTATATAAGAGTGGGTGAAAATAATCAGAGACACTCGAAAGGACAGGGCTGAGCCCTGATCTCAGCAACAGCAGAGCAAAGCCCGAGTAACTCCAAGAAAAATTCTGGATGCACGCAGGGATGTAACCGAGATGAGATCTGGTCCTGAAGTGCTGCACTCCAGACAAAAAACCTTGATGTCCCCTTCTTAAATTTCAAGAAAAACTATCAAAAGAGTCCCAAGTTCTTTTAGGGCATTTCCACAGTTCTTGGAAGAAGCCTGCATGTCCCTATTTGCATAGGATGCCTCCAGGCCATCCGCTTCAGCAGGCGGTGGATCAGACTGGGCGGCTCGCTCCCTCGACCTGCAGCTGTGCCGGCTGTAAGACCAAACACAGCCTTCAGCTCGGCGAGCCCGCTGGGGATTCACCCTTCCAAGGCACCACCGGGGGAGCGTGCGACACCGGGATGTCGCCCTGAGGCAATCTGTGTAATCCCTGCATCGCTCTTGTCTTCCCTCCCAGGTCGGGCGCGGAACCCGCCGCTCGGAGACACGTGGGTGAGATCCCAGCTTTCTCTCCAGGGGAGATCTCCGCAGGCAGTTTACGATGCCAGAGCTCCCGCTGTGCCACCGGCGTTTACTCGGAAAATCACGGGCAATTAATCAGAGTTTTCTCGGGGGAAAACCCACTTGATTTGGACCCGTCATTACGCAGGGAAAGTACAGAACACCGTGCTGTAACCTAACCTGAACTCTGCTAAAGGCATTTCTCCCTAGGGCTCCCTTTTCACTTGGCAAGCCCTGCCTGCCTTTGGAAAACCGGGACGGGTGCAGCGGACCCTGGTTATACTTGGATGTGTTGAGGAGCAAGATGCACCCGCGATGCTGTCCCGCTCGTCTTTGGGCCGCCGAGGCAGGACGCGGGGAGCCTGAGGAAGCCGCGGGGAACGCTCTGAGGTGACCCTCCCGCAGAAAGCTGTGCGTGTCGGCGGCGGCAGGGAGCTCACCCCGGCGGGACCGGGGCTCCGGCCGCCGTCCGGGCATCGCGCAGGGGCCGTCCCGCCGCGGGCAGAGGGATGGAGGGACGAAGGGATGGAGAGATGCAGGGAGGAAGCACTTCAGGCGGCAGGTGAACGGGACAACGCGAGGCGTCCCCGACCGTCCGGGTCTCAGCGGGGCGCAGTGTGGGCGGCACCCGCAGCGACTCGGTCGGGGACGGCGGGGCGGGCGCGGTCTCCCCCCGCAGCCGGAGCGCCCGGGGACGTGCGGGACGCCCCCGCCGCCTCTCCCCTCCCCTCCCCTCCGCCCGCCCCGCCCGGGGGGCCGCGCCGCCACCGGCGCTCGGCGCGGCGAGCGAGCGGGCGGGCGGTGCCAGACGGGCGCCCAGCGGACCGCAACGACGGCGGCGCCCCGGAGCCCCCCAGGCGGCTCCGCCCCGGCCACCCGCAGGTGGGTCCGCCCTGCCCGCGCCCCCCACGTCGGGGCGGGACCGAGGGCTGGAGCCGGGCGCCCGCTCGCCGAGGCGACGCCCCCCGCGCCCGCCCAGCCCCGCCGGGCTCTCGGGGCGCCGCGTCCCCTCGGAGCGGAGCGGAGCGGAGCGGAGCGGGGCGGCTCTCGGCATGGCGGGGCTCCCGGCCGGCCGGCGGGCGGGCTGAGGCGGGGGCCGGGCGGGGAGGCGCCGGCGGCGGGGTCTCACCGCCTCTTCTTGCCGTCCCCCGCAGGGAGCGGCCGGCCCCCCGCGCCACCATTGCCTCGCACGGCAAGGAGGACCTGCTCGCCGCCGCCGCCCGGCTCTGGCAGCGGAGGAGGCGGCTGCTGGCCGCCGCCGGGCTCGCCCTGGCCATGGCCGTCGCGCTGCTGGTCGCCGTGCCCCTGCTGCTGCTGCAAGCGCCCGCCGACACCGGCGCCCACTACGAGATGATGGGCACCTGCCGCATGATCTGCGACCCGTACAGCGGCGGGCGGCCGCCCGGGCCCGGCAGCACCGCCGCCGTGGAGGCCCTGCAGGACCTGGGCGCCAACCCCCCGCCGCCCTTCGTGCAGGGACCCAAGGGGGAGCCGGGCCGGCCGGGCAAGCCGGGCCCCCGCGGGCCGCCCGGGGAGCCGGGCCCGCCGGGGCCGCGGGGCCCGCCGGGGGAGCGGGGCGACGCGGGGAAGCCGGGGCTGCCCGGGCTGGCGCTGGCGGGCGCGGGCGGCGGCGGGAGCGGCGGCGGGGCGGCGGCGGGCGGCGAGGCGGCGGGCGGGCTGAGCGCCGCCTTCAGCGGGCCGCGCATCGCCTTCTACGTGGGGCTCAAGAGCCCCCACGAGGGCTACGAGGTCCTCAAGTTCGACGACGTGGTGACCAACCTGGGCAACCACTACGACCCGGCCAGCGGCAAGTTCACCTGCCAGGTGCGCGGCATCTACTTCTTCACCTACCACATCCTCATGCGCGGCGGCGACGGCACCAGCATGTGGGCCGACCTCTGCAAGAACGGCCAGGTGGGTTCCGCCGCTCCCCCGCCCGTCCTCCCCGCCCGGGGTCCCCCGGTGTCCCCCTCCCGTCGTCCCCGTCCCGCGGGCGCGGCACCGGGCGCCCCCGGTCCCGGGAAAAGAGCCAGCGGGAGCATCCTTCGCGCCGTCGGGGCGGGGGGGGCGCCTCTAGAGCCGCGAAGAAATCCGAACTCCCGGCTTGCAAACTTCTGTGCCGGGCTGGGGAGAAGGAGAAGCGAGGACAGAGGCGGAGGAGGGAGGGCACAGGGTAGTGGAGGGGTTGGGAAAGAGGGACTCGGGGCACTGATGGTGCGGGCTGGGGGGAACTGATGGAGGGGCCGGAAAAGAGGAACGTGGGGGACTGATGAGGCTGCGGAGGAGTGACTCGGAGGGCTAATAGAGGGGCAGGGGGGCTGATGTGCCCAGCGGCTGTGTTGGCAGGTGCGGGCCAGTGCCATCGCCCAAGACGCAGACCAGAACTACGACTATGCCAGCAACAGCGTGGTGCTGCACCTGGACTCCGGCGACGAAGTGTACGTCAAGCTGGATGGAGGCAAAGCACACGGAGGCAACAACAATAAGTACAGCACTTTCTCTGGCTTTCTTTTATACCCCGATTAACACACAAGTGACACGACACAACTGGCCCCGCCACTGGTGCACATGGGGCTGTTTGGCAATTCCATACCCCCATCGTGCTGCTGTTCCTGCTGGTGTCCACTGTCTCCGCAGGTCACTTTAGCTTCATTATCAGTTTGTATGTTTTTATTTTCACCCTTGTGGAAACGAAATAGAAATGAAACAAAGTGAACCCCTTCCTTACTCTCCCCTGTTTCTTCTGACCCCCACTCTCCCTTTGTCTGCCTGAGTGTTTCGTGTGTCACGTGAGGAACTTGGCAGCTTGAAACTCTGAATGGTTCCAGGAGGGTTTGAAAGAGCCCAGAGTTTGGACTGTGTCACACACGGAATTTGAACAGGTCACATTTTTTCATCAATAAGTATTAATGACAATGATGAATTTTCAGATCGACTATTCACGAAGTGGGAGTGGATCATAACTGTTTTTTCCTCTGCTGCTTTGTATGGGGTCAAGTGTAAACTTTTCTTTCTGTGCAATGCAATGCTCGTGTGAATGATGGTGTCATTAACGTCAAACCTGTTTCTGTCTGCAAAAGAATTTGGTCATTGACCGCAGCCACCCAAATACCACATTAAATTATGTTTTTAGACAATGCCTTCTTGCTTTTTGTCTCTTCCAGTGCTACAAAGCAGCACTGTGGTGGTGCCACAGGAGGGGGGGGAGTAAAGGAGGGGGTCACTTTGGTCCCTTATGTTTATAGACATATTTAAAGTTAGGATGGGGTTCCTTGCCTAACTCTTGAATATGGTGCAAGGGGCATGGAAAGAAGGAGAGAGAGAGGAAAAAAAGTTTCACCTTTATGCAGTTTTGTGAAAAGAAGGCACACAGTTATAAAGAGGTGAAAGTGGGGGTGTGGAGTGAATCTCTTAAACAGATTTACTGGGTTAAAACCTGATCCAGAGGTTAGCAAAGTACAGGAAAAGGAGATTAATCAGTTATTATGAAAAAGCCATGTTTCTGTAACATGCTTGACAAATGTTAAGAAGGCAGCAGGGGACAGAGTGGCCAAACTCAAGCGTTTGTCTAAACCCTTGCACTTGCAGTATGTGTATGGGTTGGAAACCACACCTGACTGGCAGTGCCTGAGAAGGGCTGGGTGAGAAAATTCTCTCAGGACTGATGGATTCAGACCATTCAGAAGGGTTTTCTCCTGATGGTCCTCTGTAAATCCCAGCCACCCTTGGTCTTTTTTCAAAATGCACAGGTGTAGTGCATTGGTATGCATCAGTAGTGCATGTGGTTTTTTAGCCTTTGGTGGAGGAGGTGCATTTGTCATCATCACCCCAGTGGGTAACCTCCTCAGTTTGGGTAAATTGGGACTGCTCTGCTGAAGCTAGGAGAGGTAAATTGATTTACAAAAGCACTTACTTTCATTTTACTGTATTGCCATTTCATTTTTCCCTCCTGAAAGTCTTACCTCCCTATCAGCTCTCTGCCCTTCCCAGTGTTAATGCAGTTTCACAGACCAGAGAGACAGGAGCTGGTCTGAAACAGCTCTGCCCAGGCTGGAGCTTTGCCCCTGCCCTGATGTTGCAGGAGGAAAGGGAGCCACAGTCAGATGGACTTGTTCCAGCCCCACTGTGGGGCAGCCCCATGGTGACCAAGTTCTTAGAGTCACTCCTGTCTCCTACCCAGTCCTCAGTGGGCATTGTCTTCTCCTTGGCTGGAAGGGGAGGGTCAGAGGGAGAAGGCAATTCCTCCATCCCGTCCTCAAACATCCCCTGCTGGGGGAAGCAGAGTTCATAACCAGGTACACGTGTTAGACACTTATCAATCTCTTATGTCTTGTCGATTTGTACTATTTAGAATATGATTAAATCCAGTGTCTGAGACCATCCAAATGAAGTATAATTGCTATGGATCCTCAATTCCCACCGGATCCGTAATCCTTTTTGACTATTCCTCCTCCCTCCTTCAATGAAATGGAGCTTAGACACAAAGCCCTTGGTTTAAATTTCAAAAAATTAAAATTGACATGCAGCAGCATTAGCAGGAGCCAGGAGGAATTCTAAGGAGGTGCCTGGGCTCTGCTTTATCCTTTGCATTAAGAAGCAATTTGTACTTCTAACAAAGACCCAACTGTTCCCCCTTGGCAAAAGGGCAATGAAGATGCCTTGCAAGGGAATTGCTGTTCACAATACTTAAACAAATTTGAATCTTAGATTTTTAAATCTGTATTCCCTGGTGGAGCCTGCTCCTCTCAATTCAAATGCAGGGCTGGTGGTGTGTGCCTGCCAAGGTGTCAGTAGCTAAGCGGATGATGGATTGATGAGGCAATGGGAAGACACAGGCTCACAGTGGCAGTTTGCCCCGACAGTGATCTATGTATCTGCACATTATCAATGTCATGAGGAGGCTTGAACCACCCTCGCTAGATGTCTCATTTTCCACTTATCTCTTATGTACTAATTATCAGGCTGGATTATTCCCCAGGACAGAAACAAAAAAAAATTGCTCATCGCCCCTCCACTGACAGTTTACACAATCGATAGAATGAGCGTCTCCCTCAGCTGCTCACAGGCTTTTTTGTTTCCTCTCCTCATTGCAGGGTCTTCCGAGATTGCCTCTGTGGGGGGTTGATAGCTCTCACCCAGCATCTGCTTGGACAGGCTCCTCTGTCCCAGTCATCTTGGTGGGAGCTCAGCGTGTGGGTTGTGGGGTTTTTTTTTCCTGAAGTAACACAGGGAAAAGCAATTGGGAGATGAAAAACTTCAGTGCTCAGTGGTGCAGTTATCCAGGAAAGCAGAGGCAGTGCTGCGGATGGGGATGGTGGTCCCCGTGCTGCCAGTGGCTGTGGGTGACAGCAGGGTCACACACAGTCCAGCAAACAGCCTGAGGTGGCCTTGTAACCCTCTGGGCTTCCACCTGAGCTTCAAGTGAGTCTTCCTGCCCTTGGGTATGGTCTGTGGGTCCTGCACGTTTCATGTCACAAAGATAAGGGCTTGTTTGTGAGGGGGATACCCGGTCCCCTGGTTTGGGTGGGAAGAGGAGGATTAAAGTGTACTCAAGGGGCTGGCTTCAGCTTTCTCTGGGGCTGGCTTTCCCAAATGATACTGCATCTCAAACATTAGCTAGTGTCTGCTCTGGAGGTCTGATGCTTCAGAGGTGTTACTTGATGAGTTAAGCAAATGTGCTTTTAAGAACTGGGACGTGATCAGCTGTGATGTGAGTAGGGAAAGCCTCCAGAAAGGAGTGGAATATTGGAGTTTTAGACAAAAGGTGCTCTCTGTTTCTGAGCCCAGCCATGTGCTTAAGTTAAAATCATAATACAAAACTTAAATTAAAAAAAAAAAAAAACACCAAACAGTTTTTTTCATGTTCATGCTGTCGAAGTAGCTTAGATACTGCACCAGCAAATCCTTGATCTTTGTGCTACCAATGTGAAACCTTAACCCTTACCCTGTGCCTGGTCAGCACTGGCTATGGAAGAGATCCCTGGAGGAGAGGTGAGCAGGGAGATGTTGAAGCACACAAACATTGTGAAAGGGGAAATGGGGATGCTGCTGAGAGCCCTGAGGGGTTGCCAGCCCCCCCATGTCTGTGGTTGTTCCCTGGAGGAAGGTGTTCAGCTCACTCTGCTCTATTGCAAGCGAGTGGATTTGTGGCCAGCCACTTGTTTTCAGCTGTCTTGACCTTCACTGGTTTGGGAAACTCCTGGCAAGTCTCTGGGGAGGTGGGTGAGGAAGTGCTGCTCTGCCTAGGGTGAAGAGGATGAGCTGCTGGTGCTGTTGTCTCCAGCCATGGTACAGAGTTGAGGAATCCATGCTGTGAGAGCAGCTGGTGTCGGGTGTCCTGTGCCAAGTGTGGTGCCTCTGCTTTCCAGGATCTCAGCTTGCAGATTTCCTCCTTGATGCTCATTCCCTTATGGAGCAGGGCCTGGGTCAGTGGGGCTCCCTGTCCTGCAGCAGCAACAACAGTCCTGTGTTGGGTTCTCCTTTTTCCCTTTTGCTGTAAGAAAAGCAAAGTGTTGCTTTTTGTGCCTCCTGTCTTTACACACATGCATTGAGCCATGCATTGGTCTTTGTCTTGCTGCTTTTGAAACTCACTCTGGGCATTTTTCTTGGTGATTTAAAGCTTGTTTATCTCTTTGCTTGCCTTCTTCAGTGGCTCACAGTGCCTGGACAGGTTTAATTTGTGAACTCAAAAAGTATGGAGGATGGGTTTTGGTGGATACTCATGTTCTTTTTCTGTTTATGCAACAGGCTAATTATATTAAGGGGTCTGTGACAATAGAGGCAAAATTGCATATAATCTATTTCAAATCTGTGTTAAATACTTTTTTTTTTTTTTTTGGTAACATGCTATTTTTTTTCCTTTTTGTGATTGGACTGAACTGTGGGAAAAAAATCCTGGTAAAATCATGCGTCTTAGTATTGTCTCTGGGATAAAGGAGCCTGTCAGAATAAAATAAAGACTAACTGAATCTTCACTGACTTTGAGACTACAAGAAGTTTGGTCCTTTTTACTGTGAAAGCCTACGTGATGCAGAGACCTGGAAGATTAATTACGGACAAGAGAGAGGTAAATTGTTACCATGTGCACACCCTGTCAGTTTTGGGTGAGAGCCTGCTCTTAGCTGGTTTCACATTTAATGGCAGAAAGAGGTTCAGCTTGTCTATAACTGCAGGTATAACTTGTCTATAACTTGTCTATAACTACAAATGGGACCCATTTCTCTAGACCAAGCCCGTGCCAGTTCAGAAATGAATCCCTTGGTCACAGAGCAGGTGCCACAGCAGCAGTGCAGGAGATACTTCACTGTTCCTTGAGCCCACTTGCTCTTGAATGAGCTTCATTTTTGAAAGCTGTGGGGGCATCGCAGCAGGGGCATTAAAGACTAAAGGGGCTGAGCTGCTGGTTCCTCTCTGTTTAGGATCAGTTTGTTAATTGCCTCAATGTTAAGTTACAAAGAGGCCATCAAAGGGCAAGGCTTGTTCCCTGTATCAGCCAGGGGAACGGGGGCATTCCCTCCTGGGTGACAGGCTGAGGCTGGGGTAGGATTTGGTGTTCTAGGCTTGGATATACATTGGAATTCCCCTTCTTTCCCCCTGCATTTCAGGCTGAAGCCTGGAGAGCTGGTGGTTTCAGGTGAAAATGCCAAGCCACTGTTGTGTCCTGGCCCCTGCCACAGAGTGCTCAGCAGGAGCTCCCAAGGTTTTGCAGAGCAAAATTCAGAGGGGGCTATGAGTGATGATCCTTTTTCCTTGCAGAAAAAGCCCCAAATGCCCACAAATTGGGTCCTTCCAATTATAAAATAGCCTGAATTAACCATTCAGTTGTGTGGCACAGCTTTCTCTATATCCTGATAAATGGGAGTAGATTTTCTTCACAGGGGCTTATGACATATCCCTCTCTGTGCATTTGCTCCCATTGTGGTTTTTCTTTTTGGCATGAACTAGGGTAGAAACAGAAAAGGCTTGCTTGATCTGTATGATCTGCTGCCCTATTAATGCAGGATTATTTCCTCCAGTGCTCTGTGAGCACGGTGACACAGAGAGCATGGCTTGCCTGCAGCCTTTGACTGTGCTCCTCCCAGCGAGGGCACATTCACATGATCCTGGCTCTCCGTTTTGCTTGCAGCTGCCAGATCAT